TGACATCTAACGAGTTGTGGGCTGTACACAGTGTGTCTGCAGGTAGCTGGTAAGGCCTATATAGGCACAGAATGTTCTGCCACATGTCGGGCAGACATGTGTGGGCACTACTACTGCAGCATTTGCAGCTCTGGCTTTGTGGAGTGCTCGCTTCTCTTGTGCTATAGTTGTCCTTCTGTCTTCAAATGTCTGGCAGCCTTGGTGGATCAACGTGCGCCATGTTGATCAATCTTGTGCCAGGGTTTCCCAGGAGGTGGTGTTGATATCCAAGGACTTGAGAGAGGCTGTCAGCATGTCTTTATATTGCTTCTTTTGTCCCCCGTGCGACCGCTTTCCTTGAGACAGCTCACAATAGAGGAGCTGTTTGGGGATGCGGTAGATGCTTGTGACATGGCCTACCCAGTATGTCTGGGCTTTGATCAGCAGGGTGTGAACTGATGGCAGGCCTGCTCTCAAGAGGACTTCTGTGTCTGGCACCTAGTCCTGCCACCGGATCCTCAGAGGTCTGCAGAGGCAGGTCATGTGGAAGTGGTTCAATTGCCTAGCGTGGCTCCTGTATACAGTCCAATTTTCACTGGCATACATCATGGTAGTTAGCACTATTGCTCGGTAGACTTTGAGCTTTGTAGCAAGGCTTATTCCATGGTGGTCCCACATGTTGGTCAGTAGTCTGCCAAATGCAGAGTTTGCCTTGGTGATTCTGCAGTTGTCCTCAATGTCCATTGTCACTGAACAGGAAAGGGTGCTGCCAAGATATGTAAATTGGTCCACTGCTTTCAGCTTTTGTCCCTTTACTGTGATGATGGGCTCTTGGGGTTGGGCATTCGGAGGTGGCTGGTGTATCACTTTGGTCTTCTTTGTGTTGATGTGGAGGCCGAAGTTGTTGCATGCAGCTGGAAATTTGTCCACACTGGCTTGCATTTCCTGCTGTGATCCAGCATATAGGGCACAGTCGTCAGCAAAAAGGAGGTCTCGTAGCACAGTCTCCTTTATCTTGGGGACAACCTGGAGTCTTTGCAGGTTGAACAGTTTTCCATTGGTCCTGTATCTCAGGCTGGCTCCCAAGGAACTGTTCTGGAAGGCGTCTGATAGCATGGCTGAATACATTATGCCGAATGGGATCAGTGTGAGCACACACCCTTGCTTGACACCGTTTGTGATGGGAAAGACCTCTGAAGCTTCTCCGTCCAGAACATGAGTCGCCATGGAACTGATGTACCATCAGGATGAATCTATCAGGGCACCCAAACCTCAACATGATGCGCCACAGACCTTCGTGACTGACAGTGTCAAAAGCTTTGGTGAGATCCACGAAGATATGGAATGGAATGGAATGGAATGGAATGGAATGGAATAGAATGGAATAGAATAGAATAGAATAGAATAGAATAGAATAGAATAGAATAGAATTCTTTATTGGCCAAGTGTGATTGGACACACAAGGAATTTGTCTTAGTGCATATGCTCTCAGAGTACATAAGAAAAGATACATTCATCAAGAATCATAAGGTACAACACTTAATGATAGTCATAGGGAAACAGCCAAAATAAATATTAAGGATACCAGCAACAAGGTTACAGTCATACAGTCATAAGTGGGAGGAGATGGGTTATAGGAATGATGAGAAGATTAATAGTAATGCATTCTTAATAACTAGTTTGACAATGTTGAGGAAATTATTTGTTTAGCAGAGTGATGGGGCTGGGTTGCAGAACCAAACCAGACAGTTATAGAGGTGCAGATGACAGATTCAATAATTCCTCTGTAGAACTGTATCAACTCCTTGGGCAGTTTGAGCTTTCTGAGTTGGCGCAGAAAGAACATTCTTTGTTGTGCTTTTTTGATGACGTTTTTGATATTGGGTGTCCATTTTAGGTCGTGAGATATGGTAGAACCTAGAAATTTGAAGGTCTCTACTGTTGATACTGTGTTGTCTAGTATTGTAAGAAGTGGTAGTATGGGGGGGGGGTTCTCCTAAAGTCTACCACCATTTCTACGGTTTTGAGTGTGTTGAGTTTCAGATTGTTCTGGTCGCACCACGAGGCTAGTTGTTGTATGCGGATTCATCATTGTCTCGAATGAGATCGATCACTGTTGTGTCATCTGCGAACTTCAGTAGTTTTAACAGATGGATAATTTGAGATGCAGTCATTGGTATATATAGAGAAGAAAAGAGGAGAGAGCACACAGCCTTGTGGGGCCCCTGTGCTAATTGTACAGGTATCTGATGTGAATCTGCTTAGCTTCACCTGCTGCTTCCTGTCTGTTAGGAAGCTTATGATCCATTTACAAGTGTCTTCAGGTACTGCTAGCTGATTTAGCTTAGTTAGAAGAATGTCTGGAATGATGGTGTTGAATGCTGAACTAAAGTCTACAAAGAGGACCCTTGCGTAGGTTTTTGGAGATTCAAGATGTTGTAGGATGTAGTACAGAGCCATATTAACAGCATCATCTGTTGATCTATTTGCTCGGTATGCAAATTGCAGGGGGTCTAACAGCGGATCCATGATGGTTTTCAAGTGAGACAGCACTAGCCTTTCAAAGGTTTTCATAACTACAGATTTTAGAGCAACTGGTCTGTAGTCGTTCAGTTCCTTGATGGAGGGCTTCTTAGGCACTGGGATGATAGTAGAGCATTTGAAGCAAGATGGAACATAGCACATCTCCAGCGATTTATTGAGGATACAGGTGAAGATGGGAGCCAATTGGTCAGCATAGACTTTTAAGCAAGAAGGAGTTACCTTGTCTGGGCCTGGAGCTTTTCCTGGCTTTTGTCTGTGAAATAGGTCTTGCACTTCCTTTTCTGTGATCATTAGGGGTTGTGAACCCAATGGGATTGGGTCAGTTGTAGGAGGTTTGGCTGTTGTTAATGTGTCTGAGATGGGGGTTGTGGAGATAGGTGGCTGTAGTTTTCTTTCAAACCTGCAGTAAAACACGTTCAGGTCATCTGCCAGTTGTTGATTTCCTTCAGCCTGGGAAGAAGGTTTGCCATAACCGGTGATATTTTTAAGAGTTTTCCACATGTTTGCTGGTTCATTTGTTGAGAACTGATTCTTTAGCTTTTCAGAGTAGCTTCTTTTTGCTGCTTTGATCTCCCTTGTTAATACATTTCTGGCCTGATTGTACAGCATTTTATCACCTTTTCTGTAGGCTTCCTCTTTGGAACGACGTAGCTGCTTAAGTTTAGCTGTGAACCAAGGTTTGTTGTTACTGTATATTCTCAGGATTCCTGGTCGGTACACATAGGTCTTCACAGAAGCTGACATATGATGTTACAGTATGTGTGAGTTCATCTAAGTCTGCAGAGGTACTTTCGAAAATATTCCAATCAGTGTGTAGTCTTGACACTTCTCTTGGAGCTGTCGGGCTGCGAAGATCATGTCCACAGTGCTACGTTCTTTGCAGAAAACGTACTGTCTCAGATAATAAACCCTCTTCCAGGGTTTATTTCCAGGGTCAGTTAGGCAGTTCAGCAACACTCGTGCAAGGATCTTGCCTGCAAAGGAAAGCATGATATTCCTCTATGATTATCGCAGACTGATTCCCTTTCCTCTTGTAGAGATGTACAATGGGCGTGTCTTTCAGTTCCTGAAGAATGGATCCTTGATGGACTGGACTGGAACAGCTGAGTAAGTTTGTCAACAAGCATTGCACCACCATCCTTATAGACTTCCACTGGGATCGCATCAGGTCCTGGGGCCTTGCCACTGGACATCTGGCTGATGGCCTCTAGGATTTCAGTCTTTGATGGTGGGACGTCCAGGCTGTAGTTGATATCTGCCTGGGGCATTCTGTCAATCACCTTGTTATTGGTGGAAGATGGGTGGTTCAGTATGAATTGGAAGTGCTCAGGCCAATGCTGTAGAATCAGAGTCTTCTCAGTAATGAGAGTTGCACCATCTGAGTCCAGTAGAGGGGAGCTCCCTGAGAGCTGAGGGCTGTACAACGATCTGAGAGCTTCGTAGAACCGTTTGGCATCATTTCTATCAGCAAACTTCTGAATTTCATCTGCTTTGACACTCAACCAGGAGTCCTGCATAGCTTGCTCTGTACGGTCCTGCGAATGTTGTTGAAGGCATTTTTCTTACCTGTTGATGATCGGTCGTTCTGGTGAGCATAGTGAAGGTGGTGCTTTTCAGCAAGTAGGGCCTTGATCTCTCCATTGTTTTCATCAACAGTCCTGCTGTTTCCTGTGTAAGGGTCCAAGAACCTTTAGTGCAGAAGAGTGCACAATATCCCAAAAGCGTTCCCAGTCCTTCTCAGCATTTCCCTCTAATTGCAGCTCTGGTTGTCAAAATCTTCTGCTAGTGAAGCTGCTGTGCTATAAATAAATAAACAAACAAACAAACAAACAAACAAACAAACAAACAAATAAATAAATAATGTGTAACAGCCTCCTGTTTCTGTGAGCTGATCTTCATTGGCTAGACAAGTTTCACACAGGCCCGCAATATCGATGTTAAATCTTGCGAGCTCTCTGGTGACCAGGGCTGTTCTTTCTGATTGATCTGCTGAGGGGTTGTCTTGAAGCGTGCATACGTACTATGTGCCAATAGTGAGTGGTGTCACCTTACGCTTTATTTGAGGTTTTATTGTTTGACTGCATGAAATGGGATCCCCTCCAGCTGCGGTAAGCTGGCCAGGGTTCTGTGAAGCAAACAATGTTTAGGGCACCTTTTCTAGCCCCTTCCTCTTACTACATAGGTGAGCAGTGCAGTGCTAAAGAGGGCTGCTCAGTCACTCAGGTAGATGCCAAATCCAACTGTTGCTCCACTCAGCAAGGAGACGACCATTAGAAGTGAGCTGCATGTGTGCAGGTCCACGGCTACAATTCCCAGTGTATCCACACATGCTCCTTCGTTGCTCTTAGCGTATCATGTTGCTTACAGAGAGCACCTTCATGACTGTTATCCTATTCTGGTAGGTTTCATCTGTCAATCCGCTGGAAACATGCTCGGGATAGACAAGTCCCTATCTCACTGAAGGTCAATGACCCGACAGCTACCCTCAACCTGGTTTGGCCAGCCTGTCGAAGCTGTTGCCCGGGGTGTGGTCACTGCGCTTGCTATAACTACTGGGAGCCACAGGTGAGAGCTGAGTGACAGGTGGGGGACCAAAGTGGGATAAGCTGCCCTTAAAAGCTGAGCTGAGTGACAGTTGGGGTATATGGGGTGTTCAGGGAGGGGTAGCACCTCTGGTGTGGGGTCATGTCATGTCCTTTAGTGTGACATAGAGAATCAAGCAATGTCTAATTTTGCCAGATCCAGTCACTGCATAGATGTGAGTGAGCCAATGTGATGTGGCTCTCCTATCACACTGCCTGTATAATCTTAGTAACATCTCCCTTCAACTTATTTCTGGCAGATTGTATTATACAACACCCTTAACCAGATTCCCTAACAGCCTAATGTCTGCATGTGTAGAACTTTGGTTTTCTTTTAAATAGTAAACCGAGTTTGTACAAACCTAGAAAATAAGTTAATTCAGTAACTAAATTGAGTTATCCAATAACACAGACATATAATAGACTAAAATTTAAATTTAGAAAGGATTTTCTTTATACCATACTCTTTATGCTAACAGATGGCCAGATGACTGTCAGAACCAGGGGTGAAATCCAGCAGGTTCTGACAGGTTCTGGAGAACTGGTAGCAGAAATTTTGAGCAGTTCGGAGAACCGGTAGTGGAAATTTTGAGTAGTTCAGAGAACCAGCAAATACCATTTTTGGCTGGCCCCAGAGTGGGATGGGAATGGAGATTTTGCAATATCCTTCCCCTGGAGTGGGATGGGAATGGAGATTTTGCAGTATCCTTTCCCTGCCATTCCCACCAAGCCACACCTACAGAACTGGTAGTAAAAAAATTGGATTTCACCACTGGTCAGAACATTATTGTTGTCCTAAAATATCTGTAGAATTCCTTGGTAATCCATTCAGTTTTTTTCTGCTACTCAGCAAGACATACAATCCTAACCCATTACAGTGCTAACTATATTTTAATAGGATATGGAAAGAAAACAGAGACAGAGACACTGGATCCCACAACAAACAGTGTAAGAATTCTTTCATCATACATACTTGAATTTTTAATCTTATATTGTCCCCCATTTCCACACCTTCATAGTTTGGCTGAATCAATATCCATCTTTGGAAATGTTTAGTTAAGTATATATGAAACTAAGGACTGTCAAATATATTTTTCCTTCAAGAAAAGAATATTTCCAAAATCAGAAGTATTCCTATGGATTAAAAAAATATTTTTGAGTCTGGTTTTGGTATTTGAACTGGAAAGAAAATATTACTCTTTATGTCTTGTATAACTATGGAATGGGCTTGAGGCACTAGCCTTCTCCCATACATATAAATATTTCCCCAATGAACATTTTCTATATTATTTTTACTTATTTTATGATTTGAAATATACTAAATACAGGAAATAGCCATTAATACAGATTTCCTAAAATATGGTATTTCTAAATCTGAATCTTTCCAAGTTTCTATAGGCTGATAAAGCAAAATACAAAATCCAGAATAACAGAGTTGGAAGGGACTTGGAGGTCTCTAGTCCAACCCCCTGACCAAGCAGGAGACCCTATACCAGTAATGGCTAACCTTTTTTTCCTTGGGTGCCAAAAACGTGTGCGCATGCCCATACCCATAATGTAATGCCCCCCATGCACGGCCCGCTCCCCTGTGCATGTGCGCACAACCCCCTCCGCACTGCCCCACCTCCCTGCTCATATGTGCGCAACCCCCCGTGCTCCGCCACCCCTCCATACATGTGTGTACAACCCCCCATGCCCCATTTTGGGCCTAGCAGGCCTCTCTGAAGCCTCCAGAGGCCAGAAATGGCCTGTTTCCAGACTTCCGGTAGGTTCGTTTTTCACCCTCCCAGAGCCTCCGCACGAGCCCTGTACTTACCTGGCATCCAAAACGGGCTGCGTGGAGACTCCTGGGAGGGAGGGGCGGCATGGGCACGTGCGTGCATCTCCTGCATGCATGGCAGAGACCCAAAGATCAGCTAGCCTGTGGGAGGCACGCATGTGCGGTGGAGCTGACCTAGGGTGACAGCTTGCGTGCCCGCAGAAATGGCTCCGTGTGCCACCTGTGGCACACGTGCTGTAGGTTCGCCAACACGGTCCTATACCATTCCAGACAAATAGCTGTCCAGCCTCTTCTTTAAAACCTGTGTTGGAGCACCCACAACTTTTGAAGGCAAGCCATTCCACTGATTAATTGCTCTCCCTGTTAAGAAATTTCTCCATAGTTGTACGTTGGATCTCCCTTTGATAAATTTCTAACTGTTCCTTCTTGTCTTGTTTTCATGTGCTTTGGAGAATATGTTGTCCCTCTCTGCTTTGTGACAGCCTCTCAAATATTGGAAGATTGCTATCATGTCACCCCCTAGTTTTCTTCATAAGACTAGACATACCCAGCTCCTGCAACTGTTCATCATGTTTTAACCTCCAGCCTCCTAATCATCTTTCTCCTCTACACTCTTTCCAGAGTCTTAACATCTTTTTGTATCATGGTGACCAGAACTGGACACAATACTCCAAGTGTGGTCTTATCAAGGCAGTATATAGCGGTACTTATACTTCACATGATCCTGATTCTATTCATCTGCTGATGCAACTTAGGATATGATTAGCAATATAAGAAGGGCTCAGGTTTTAAAGACACTTTGTCCTGGACACAAGCAAGTCTAATAAAGGTACAAGACAGATAAAGAATATAAAATTATGTTTCAATATATGATAAATATTTGAACAGTCTATCAGAAGACTAGGCATTTAATAGCAATGTCTACACCTTGTAAGTGCCCAGAGTCACCTTGTGATGAGATGAGCAGCAAGCAAATTTAATAACTAACTAACTAACTAACTAACTAACTAACTAACTAACTAACTAACTAACTAAATCTGTAAATGGTAAGTAAAGGTAAGGTTCCCCTCGCACATATGTGCTAGTTGTTCCTGACTCTTTAAAATTGCCCTTGCACTGTTCCTAAAGTCTGTCCAGATCATAAATATAGGTCCAAAACAGATTTTCACAGGTAATAACCACTTTCAGTCATTTCAAAGTTTAAACTACATACTTGATACATGAGAGTGCCCATTAGTCCAAAGCAAAAAGATTTTTAGTACTGGTACATAAAAGGGCTTTTCATTCAAGTATGGATATGCAAGTCAATTATCTGAAAATGGGACCCTTGATATGTGGTTTAACCTTGAAATTCCCAATGTGATAGTCATGAATTTCTTTCTTGACACATGCAGCTTTCCTACTGAATTGACTTTTAAAATGCTTTTTGAAGACGGTTTTAATGAAATAAAAAATGAAGTAGGAAGCTGGCACACTAAACACATTAGTCTCTAACATCCTGCTTTTTTTCAGCAATACCTTGGGGCCAAGGGTGAAATCTACTTACCTTCCCAAATGATTAGGAAGTGTACACGCCGTGCATGTGCATGCTCAAACCCTTCTGCACATGAGTAGAGGGTAAAAAACAGGTTACTTCTTGGTTAAAACCAGGAAGTAACAACAACTGGGTGGGCGGAGCCTTGTGCCGCCATTGCTACTGGTTCTCCGAATCACCGGCCACCATCGCTGCTGGTTTGGCCGAACAGGTCTGAATCGGGAGCATTTCACCCCTGCTTGGGGCCCTAAAACCAAATTTAGAAAATAAAAATGGAAGAGGGCTAGAAATGCAGCAACAAACCCACAGAAAAGACAATATGCAGGGAGATGAAATACTAAGAAATGTTCTGAGGTCTTATCAAATAGCAGAAATTGTATCCCCCCCCCCCCCCCGGGAAGGATGTTTCACAACAAATTTCCATGATGGCATTTTGGGAAATTACTTGTGACATGCTCACATGCTCTCAACATTCAAAATAAAATGTGCTTATTCTAAATCCTATCCAAATGTATTTTTAAAACAATTGTATTATACCATGCATATCTGTCTGATTCCATATCACTATGGATATCAAATATGCAGAATATTTCAGATATGCTCAGAGATTTGTATTTATTTCAGTAAACCAATCCACGGAGCTAATCTATTATAAACTGTATGTCAAAGTTCACATTTATTTAGGGAGTTGGAACTGATTCATATATTTATATTTATTTTATTTATTTTTTATTTTATTTTGAATTTGTATACCACCCTTCTCCCTGAGGACTCAGGGCGGTGAACAGCCAAGTAAAAACATCAAGTACAAATATTAAAATACAGTTAAAATATATAAATATAAATATATATATAAAATATAAAATATATATAAATTTGGCCCCATTAATTAAAAACAATAAACAAAACACTTTAAAACACTTTAAAAATTAGGCCAGCCCGGCTTGCTGGAAAAGGAAGGTTTTAAGGACACGGCGGAAGGCACTGAGGTCTTGGATTCTCCTTATCTCTGGAGGCAATTGATTCCAGAGGGTAGGTGCCCCCACAGAGAAGGCCCTCCCCCTGGGGGTCACCAGCCTGTACTGTTTGGCTGATGGCACCCTGAGGAGGCCCTCTCTGTGGAAGCGCACGGGTCGATGGGAGGTCGTTGGTGGCAGCAGGCGGTCTCGAAGATAGCTAGGCCCTATGCCATGGAGCGCTTTAAAGGTGATAACCAACACCTTGAAGCGCACCCGGAAGACCACTGGGAGCCAGTGCAGCTCGCACAGGAGCGGTGTTACATGGGAGCGTCATGCTGCTCCCGTCACTACCCGCGCTGCTGCGTTCTGGACCAGTTGGAGCCTCCGGGTGCTCCTCAAGGGGAGCCCCATGTAGAGAGCGTTGCAGTAGTCAAGGCGAGAGGTGACGAGGGCATGAGTGACTGTGCACAGGGAATCCCGATCAAGAAAGGGCCGCAACTGGCAGATCAGGCGAAGCTGACAAAAGGTCCCCCTGGTTACAGCCGTCAGATGTTCCTCCAAGGACAGCTGCGTATCCAGGAGGACTCCCAGATTGCGAGCCCTCTCAGTGGGGGCCAATGACTCATCCCCAATAGTCAGTGATGGAGTCCACTGACTATATCGGGATTCCGGGAGCCACAGCCACTCAGTCTTGGAAGGGTTGAGCCTGAGCCTGTTCCTCCCCATCCAGATCCGCACAGCCTCCAGGCACTGGGACATCACTTCAAGGGCATCGTTGGGGTGGCCTGGGGTGGAGATGTACAGCTGGGTGTCATCAGCGTACTGGTGGTATCTCACCCCAAAGCCACGGATGATCTCGCCCAGCGGCTTCACATAAATGTTGAACAGGAGGGGCGAGAGGACCAACCCCTGAGGCACTCCACATATAAGAGGCCTTGAGGTCGACCTCTGCCCCCCTGCCAACACAAACTGCAACCGGTCGGAGAGAAAGGAGGAGAACCACTGTAATACGGTGCCCCCCATCCCCAACTCTTCCAACCGGTGCAGCATGATACCATGGTCGATGGTATCAAAAGCCGCTGAGAGGTCTAAGAGGACCAGAACAGAGGAGCAACCCCTGTCCCGAGCCCTCCAGAGATCATCAACCAACGCGACCAATGCCGTTTCCGTGCTGTGTCCAGGCCTGAAACCCGACTGGAACGGATCTAGATAGGATGTTTCCTCCAAGAATTGTGGAAACTGTCGCGCGACCACACTCTCAACAACCTTCGCCAGGAAGCGAAGGTTGGAGACAGGACGATAGTTGGCCAATATTGTCGGATCCAGGGACGGCTTCTTGAGGAGAGGCCTCACCACCGCTTCTTTCAAGGCGGCGGGGAAGTGACCCTCACTCAACGAAGCGTTGATAACACCCTGGAGCCAGCCTCGTGTAACCTCCCAGGAGGCCAGTACCAACCAGGAGGGACACAGGTCCAGTAAACATGTGGCCGCACTAAGTCTCCCCAAAATCCTGTCCACATCATCGGGAGTCACAGCATCGAACTCCTCCCAGGTAACATTCTCAAGACTATTCCTCGTCACCCTGCCCTGATCTACCCAGTCAGAGTCCAAATCCCCCCGGATCTGAGCGATTTTGTCATACAGGTATTGTCCGAAATCTTCCGCCCTGCCTTCCAAGGGATCCTCCCGCGCTCCCGGATGGAGCAGGGAGCGGGTTACCCTGAACAGGGCGGCCGGACGATTCCCTGATGATGCAATAGAGGCGGAAAAGTAGTTAAACTTTGCCATCTTTATCGCCACTAGGTAGGTCTTAATATGCGACCTTACCAGTGTTTGGTCAGATTCAGCGAGACTGGCCCTCTAACTGCTCTCTAGGCGTCTTTTCCGGCATTTCATCTCCCTCAGCTCCTCAGTGAACCAAGGAGCCGCGAGGGATCGACACCGGGTCAGAGGCCGCAAAGGCACGACTTGATCCAAGGCCCCACCAGCCGCCCGATCCCAGGCAGCTACCAGGTCCTCAGCCGAGTCGTGTGCCAGATCTTCAGGAATTGGCCCAAGCTCCGTCTGGAACCTATCAGGATCCATCAGGCGCCTGGGGCGGATCCATCTAATTGGGTCCGCCTCCCTGCGGCGGGGTGTAGCGGTTCGAAGGTCCAGACGAAGGAGTGAGTGATCTGACCATGACAAGGGTTTCATGTCTATATCCCCTATAATAAGACAACTCAACCACTGGCCAGAGACAAAAATCAGGTCCAGTGTGTGTCCCCCCCCTGTGAGTGGGGCCATGAACTAACTGGGTCAGGTCCATGGCCGTCATGGAAGCCTTAGTGTAATTCATACAAAGATGATTCATTCAAATGTTGAATTAAAGACACAGTCATGAGTTTAGAGCTATGAGAAAATATTTGTTCTGAGTGTTGGCTTGGCTGTAGTCTCAGTTTGGGGGCAAAGATTTCCATAAATTATAGTAAACCAGTTTTATGCATTATTCTTATTTCTAAATTTCTGCACTTATTTTACAACCAAACTCAAAAGAAACACCTGAAATCAGATCATGTTCCAGGGCACACATTGTCCAAAGTGTGTTCATGTTTTCCGCAGATCAAGATTTTTCCAAAGTTGTTGGTATGAAGTTAAGGAATGCTAGAATTTAGGTCACACTTCAAAGAATAGCACTTTTCTTTTCATAGGAAAAACAAAGGAAACATATATCTTCTTCTCCAAAAAGTTGTTACTTCCACGCCTACATCCAAACATGTAGATTAACTACACAATTTCAGAAGAAAAGAAATCCTTGAGATAAGAGTGGAAACCTTGCTTTCAATTGGAAGGATGATCATATAGGTAATGTGGGACATAAAACACCTAAAGATATACTAAAATGTAGTAGACAAACTATAATAGGAAAAATCTAGTGATAGAGATATAAATACTGTATAAATGAATATATATGGATGTAAAAGACATTCAAAAATCTCACTTTGTTGCTTATTATTTCTTTTATTTATACAAAATTGGTCCTACTCCAACAATGAGAAGTACATCACAAAGCAAGGAACAATTAAAATCAGTTTAAATTAAAATAACAAGAAAACAATCAGTAAAATAAAGTGGCAAAAATACTATCCTTAAACTACAACAAACTGTTTATAATACCGCGTTTCCCCCAAAATAAGACCCTGTCTTACATTTTTTTGAACCCTAAAATAAGCGCTTGGCCTTATTGCCATGCGCTCAAAAGCCCAATTGGGCTTATTATCAGGGGATGTCTTATTTTGGGGAAAACAGGGTATCTAGCAGATGTCAAGCTGCAGCAGTCCCAGTTAATCCAAAGGGTTGTGCCTTTATCTAGTGTTAATTTA